AAGCTGAGCTGGGCAGAAAGGAGGGCAGGAGGAAGTCGTGGGAGAGGTTGGTCTGCCAAGGCCTGCAGCTCCACCACCCCCACTGTGGCCTGATGACTATGATGAAGGTGGGTGTCCAGGCATCCCTTCAGCTGCACCTGAAACTGCCCCGTGGCCCTAGCTTCTCCCCGGTGATGCCTTGTTTCTCTCTAGATAGACTTAACTCCTGTCACAAGGCTGGCATTTGAAATGTTATGGGATTGCCATTTAACGAAAGACACTCCTGTGCCAAGGAAAAGGTCTGATCTTTCCATAGGAAGAACTTTTATATGTATTCAAAAGTCTCAACGTAATAATAGATTCCAGATTTTTAAACACATTACAATATAACCTAAACAATATATTTACAAATTATAACATGCACAACAGTATTAATTTTTTTTAATCCTCACCTGAGAATATGTTTTTATTGATGTTTAGGGAGGGAGAGAGAGAGAAACATCTATGTGAGAGAGAAACATTGATTAGTTGCCTTTCATACACACCCTGACTGGGGATTGAACCGGCAACCTAGATATGTGCCCTGACTGGTAATTGAACCCACAACCTCTTGGTGTATGGGATGACCCTCAACCAGTTGAATTCTTGGCCTGGAATGGTATTCTTTAAGATTAAGAGTGTCACACTTTCTAAATTTACTTTTTAAGTTTGGCATCTAAAGTTATGTTTTGGCCCTGGTTGGGTAGCTCAGTTGGTTAGAGCATCATCCTGATATACCAAGGTTGCAGGTTTGAACAAATGAGATTCTAAGCCCTGGCCAGTTTGGCTCAGCGGTTGGAGCGTCGGCCTGCGGTACAGAGAGATTCTAAGATGGCTGCTCAACATTGCTAATCATCAGAGAGATGCAAATTAAAAGAACAATGAGGTATCATCTCACACCTGCCAGAATGGTTACCATCAATAAATCAACAAACAACAAGTGCTGGTGAGAATGTGGATAAAAGAAAACCTAGTGCATTGTTGGTGGAAATGTAGACTGGTGCAGCCACTATGGAAAACAGTATCAAGTTTCCTCAAAAAATTAAAAATGGAACTACCTTTGACCCAATGATCCCACTTTTAGTAATATATCCTCAGAATCCCAAAACACCAATCAGAAAGAGTACATGCACCCCTATGTTCATGGCAGTGTTATTCACAATAGCCAAGTCCTGGAAATAGCCCAAGTGCCCATCAATAGACAAGTGGATAAAAAAGCTATAGTACATTTACACAATGAAATACTACAAGGCTGTAAAAAGAAAGGAACTCTTACTTTGCAACAGTATGGATGGACCTGGAGATTATTATGCTAAGTGAAATAAGCTAGTCAGAGAAAGATAAATACCATATGATCTCACTTGTATGTGGAAGCCAATGGACAAAATAGACTTATGAATACAATAGAACCAGAGGCGTGGATTCCATGGAACAGAAGGGAAGGGGGTTGGGGAGAATGGGTGAAAGAAGGTGAAAAGATTAGCCAAAGAACACATATATATGCATAACCCACTGACACAGACAACAATGTGGTGATAACCAGAGGGAAGGGGAGATAGAGGCTGGGTGGAGGTGGACAAATGGTGGGGGCAATGGGGACATCTGTAACAGTGTCAACAATAAACATAAAGTTAAAAAAAAAGAAACAATCAATGAATGCATAAATAAGTGGAACAACAAATCAATGTTTCTCTCTCTCTCAAATCAATAAATAATAATAATAAAAAAAGTTCCTTTTGAAGTTGTGCCATGAACATGAAAGATAATTATAAGAATCTGAACCTTAATTTGATTTTACTCTTGTAGCTGAGCCCTGGAGACAGAATTGACACTTTGCTAGAATCTAGCAGTTGTATTCCAACCAGGGCCATACCAATAGTCTGAGTTCTCATGAGAGCTACAGAGAATGTTTGAAAATTAGCTCCTTCAAAGATGAATGCAAGGACCAATATGAATGTGTACTTCCATTCAAGTGCTTTTGCTTTCTTTTCTGATAAATGTTTTGTGGTTTCTGAAATCAGTGATAATGATAATGTTGAGAAACAAAGTAATAGTTAAAACAAAACAAAACCCATAACTATTGGTGTGCTGATGTGCTTAACGGGAGAATCTCTCATTTCTTGAAAGTAAATTAGTGTTGAATTATGGATTTTCAAAAGTGTAAAGGTCTTTCAAATATTATTTACTCTCAGAGAAAATTCTTGAATCCTCTCCACACCATTCGTATTTTACTCTATTTCCAATAAGGGCTAAACAATTGAGCAATGTTTTCTCAGAACAGAGCTGGGTGTAAAGAGCTTGGTGATATTCAACAGACCCAGAGGTGGTGGGTGTGGGTGCAGGGTATTAGAGTCAACTGAGAGTGCTGGGAGAAAATTCGGGCTGGCAGGCAGAACCTGAACTCTCACGGCTATGGCAACGTGTCACAAGGACAGAATGAGCATCATTATCTGTGGGATCCATGACGAGGGAGCACAGTGGTGGCAACCCTAGGAGGTGGTGTTTAGAGACACAAGCTGACAAGATAACAGGTCAGGATGCAGCTCAGTTTGTAATAAGTGTCCAGGGCAGGATTGTAAAGTGCATATTCTGATATAAACCTGACCTCAACCTGCAGCTCTGCCCTCCTGATGGGCCCACCTTCCCTCCCACCCTCAGTACTCCCATCACTTTGGCTTTCTTCCTGACCATAGAATACCAAGCCCCCTGGCACCCCAGAGCCTCGCTCATTCAGATTTCTGCTTAAACATCCTCCACTCATGGAGGCTTTCTCTGATACTCCCTACCACACAATTCTATTCTAATTATCTGTATAACCTTGGGAACTTTTCTCTTATCTATATCCTCTCCACTGTAACATAAACTCAGTGAAAGCAGGGTATCTGTTTGTCTTGTTCCTGTTGTATCCAATAATCCCAGTCACATGAGGGGCAAGGGAAGGACGTTTTTATTTGTTTTAACATAAAATTACACAGATGATAGAACAGAAGTGATTTGCTTCAAACATGCAACTTTGCTGCAAGTGTAGAGGAAGCCTGGCAGACCTGGTCTAATCTCAGCAAGAGGGCCCCAACTGTTCTGCATGACAATGAGGACCCTAGTCTGTGGACAACTTCTGAAGACTTGCATAGAGAGCATAGCCATTCATCAAAATGCTATGGACTGTAGTCTTGTGCCAGGCACTGGTGGTGGGAGGTAACTAAGAAGGCATCAGGTTGAACTAAAAAAAGAATAGTACATTTCTTGCCCCTTCTCTAACAGTTCATTCAGTTCTGTAGGCTATTTATCCTTCCCAAATAAATACAGTGATACCTCGGTTCTCGAACATAATTCGTTCCAGGAGGACGGTCGAGAACCGAATTGTTCGAGAACCGAAGCAATGAAACCAATAGGAAAGCGTGACTCCACAAAGCGTGACTCTCTCTCTGCACTCACACTGATGACGCAAGCAAGGCGCGCTGGGCCAAATGAACGCCATTCGGCTCATCTCGGAAGTTCGAGTTCCAAATATAGTTCGGATTCCGAGACAAAAGTTTCTCGAATCTCCATTTGGTCGAAAACCGAGGCGTTCGAGAACCGAGGTATCACTGTAAAGCAAGCCTAGTTGATGGGTGCCAACAGTGACCAGTTCACTGTGATCTGCCCACCCAGACTCCATATTCAGACATGTAGTGAAGTGGACAGCTAAGGGAATACCAATTCCCTTAAGGTAGTAGAAGGTTGTTGAATCACTGAAAACAATCCTTGGTCTACAACTCAACATTCATTTGAACTCTTAAATTATGTACAACAATTATTCGTTGTCTAATTCCAAAGTTGCAATGTAAGAGGTAATCTCTCATGTTGAGTATTCACTTAGTAGGCACACCCTATATATAAAGTTGCTTTACATATTTTACTCAATTTACTCAGCTCAACAGTCTTGAAAAGTGGTCACTATTATCCTGCTTTAACAAACGAGGATGCTGAGTCTTAGATCTGCTACCTTATTACACACATGCATGTGTGCGCACACACACACACACACACACACACACACAGTACCTAATTTCAAAGGCCATGCTTTTTCAAGTACACCCTACTTCACTCTGGAGCCCAAAGTATGGCTCAGTTTCATAGAAGTGGTTACAGTTTGTGTCAGACAGAGCAGTGCTGCTTTGAGAAAACTAAAGGTGGAGGAAACATGTTAGATGTAGCTGCAATTTGCAATAATTTTGGTTCAAGAAGTATTTTTGAACAACTGTGTACTTCCCCTCCACCAAACGCACACACGTTCCCCACTGATCAACTTGATGGTCACTGAGTAGGAATTTGACACTCCTCCAGGCACTGACACTGTAAGGATATGAGAGAGAGAGAGAGAGAGAGAGAGAGAGGTCAATATAATATATTTAGTCTATTGTCCTTTGTGTCCTGTGGGAGATCAGCAGAGGAGAGGACAGTCAGGGTGAAAGAGGCTGGAAGTTCTGTCCAGAGGGGACAGGAAGAGGACAGACATCAGGGAGGTACTAAAACTGGATTTGGGCTTTGTTGTGAATTAGCTTGTGAAAGAGAAACCAGAAATCTGTCCTTAAGTAATATATCCTGTAAATGATCAGGATTTTTGGTAACTGGTCTCAGTGGGAAAGGACTTAGGAACTAGGGTGGCTGCAGAAGCAGAAACTCTGTTGGATTTTTTCCCAGATTGCCCAAGTAATAAGTATTGTTTACTTTGGCAGCTGCACGGGGGCAGGAAGGGTAAGGAAAGTCCCCTGGTTCATTGTCAACTGGGTGGAAACAGGGGTGAGGGGCTGGGGAAGTCAGTAGTGTGTGTGTGGTTGGATCTGTCTGTCAACCAGGGCTCATTTGGTTGAAAAAAGAAAGAGAAAGCTCACAGGGCAGAGAAGGCCTCTTTCCTTTTTTGAAAGTTGCTTCTTAGACGGAAAACCCCAAACCCCAGTCCCCCCTCTCCCCCCCAAAAAAGCATCTGAGAAGCAGGGTAGCCTAGAGGCAGAAGCTTCTGGATCTCTCCGCTGAGCCTTAGGGTAGGGGGCCAATGGAGAAGTTTCAGAAGGTCCTGGACCTGTACGTTAAGCACTACACCACGCTGGGCTACGGTCTGGTGACTCTTCTGACTGCGGGCGGGGAGCGCATCTTCTCCACCGCGGTGTTCCAGTGCCCCTGCAGCGCCACCTGGAACCTGCCTTACGGCCTGGTGTTCCTGCTGGTCCCCGCGCTGGCACTCTTCCTCCTGGGCTACGTGCTCTCGGCGCGCACGTGGAACCTCCGGCTCGGCCTCCGCGAGTCGGAAGCCTGCACCTGCTGCGGCGCCGCGCTGCACCGCGTCCTGGTGTGCTCGCAGCTCAGCGGGGCGGCCGCGCTCGCGCCCCTCACCTGGGTGGCCGTGGCGCTGCTCGGGGGCTCCTTCTACGAGTGCGCCGCCAGCGGGAACGCCTTCCTGGCCCGGCGCCTGTGCCCTGGCAACCGCTCCGAGTTGTGCATCAAACAGCTGCCGCTGGTTCCCTGCCGGGAGGCCCGGGCAGCCGACGTGCAGGACCTCCTGAAGGACCTCAAGGCCCAGTCGCAGGTCAGGCTCTGGCGGGGAAGGCGGGCTTCCGCGGGCGGCCTGGGAGAAGTAGAAATCGGTGCCCCTTTCCCAGACACATGACACCTAAGACTAACTACAATGGCTCCTTGCTTCTAATGTCCTGACAGGCAAATGTTGGAATAAACGGAATGAAAGGGAGGGAAGGCACTTCATTTAGCGTCAGGCACCTACTGTGTGCCAGATACCACTAGGTCCTTTACTTCCTACGTTAGCCTCCGGTGTCTTCATGGCGAATACGCGAAGTCTAGGGCAGGTGGTTCGCCCAGCCAGAAGAAGGCAGACTTGTTACAATGAAATGGATCTGCCTGGCTCTAGAGCCACCGCTCCACACTGCTCCTTGAAATATAAAGCTCAGAGGTTCTTGAAAATGCATGCTTGCTTCATTGAATTTGCCGATATTCCACGGGGAGTGACATCTAGGCATCTCCCTGCACCCTCCACGTGACTTGGAATATGACTGACATGCAGAGCGAGCAGTTGTACTGAGGGGCTCCAGAGGTCACTGCCACTCTTTTCTCTCAAGAGGTTAATACCTAAAACTGTTGCTTGTTCATCATCATGACTGCTGAGCAGTTCAAACTTTTTCTGAGGATTTGAAAATTACTTGTAAAAAGTGTGACTAAATTAGTATCTTCCTGCGTTTTTGTAGGTGCTAGGCTGGATCCTGATAGCAATTGTTATCCTCTTCATTCTGATTTTCGTATTTGTCACCCGATGCCTATCTTCAGCTAGTTTTCTGCAGCTGAAGTTTTGGAAAATCTATTTGGAACAGGAGCAGAAGCTCCTCCAAGCTCAAGCCACAGAATGTGCAGTCGAACTGGCAAAAAAGAATGTTACATATTTCTTTGAGCACTCACATCCGGAGGAATGGAACACCCCATGCATGAGAGACTGGCAGCATATTTCATCGCTATATACTTACAGCATGTTGCACAACTATGTTAATGAAAAAGAGAACACTGATGGTAACAAATCTACTGATGATAAAACCAGTGTTGAGTTACAACCTTGCAAATGAATAGAAAAAGTTCTTTTTAATTATTGTTTCATGTAAAAAAAATTGTATTGTTTATAGTGGCTTTTGGGGGGTGTCTTCAAATTATGGAAACATGAAATGTTAGATCTGAAATAAAAATGTATAATTTTACCTCTTTATTTTTCTTTTATTGTATGTTATTTATTTATTATTTTTTAATCCTCACCTGAAGATATTTTTCCATTTATCTTCAGATAGAGTGGGAGTGGGGGGAACATTGATGCTAGAGAGACACATTGGTTGCCTCCTGCATGACCCTAACCAGGTGGGAGATTGAACCACAACTGAGGTACATGCCTGTGACCGGAATCAAACCCACAACTCTTTGGTCCTCTGGCTGATGCTCTAACTGCTAAGCCAAACTGGACAGGGTTTACCTCTTTATTATATTAAATATTTTAAAAAATGATTGATTGAAAGTGATAAACTAGATCAACAGTTTTATACCCTTAGTTTAGGGTTCTTTTTATTGAATAATATTGATGCTTTCAAATAAAAGAGTAGTTAGTAGCAAAAACAGTGAAAAAACAATTGAACTTAAGACCTTTTTCTTAGGTTATCTGATGTTAATTTCAAGTTCACTTTCTTGCAGGCAATACTTTGTTAGGAACTTTAAAATACTGGTATTTTATATTTCTTATATTATTACTAAACAAAAATACAAAATTTATTCTGAAAAGGAAAGTAAAAAAATTTAAACACAAAATTTGTGAAACTAGTTTAGGATAATTGCAGACAATAATTGTTTTTAGTTTGTAGGATCAGGTGAAAAATGTTAAAGCTATTTATTATGATAAATTTCAAATATGCACAGAAGTAGAAAGGATAGTATTATGAACCTCCATATAGTCATTACACAGCTTCAACAAATGGTGAAGTCAGATTAAAAAACAACAACCATACAATACAAATAAATATAGAAATACAAATTGTGACCTGATTTAGATGAGGGGAGGAGGGTGGGGGAAGTCTGTGACAAGTTGAAATCTGTAGGGTAGGAGAAGAGCATTTCTGTGTGTAGGAACAGTATGTGCAAAGGCTGAGGTGACAAAGATCTTAGCAGAGATGGAAGCCTTTTAAAGTAACTAGAAAAATGAGCAAGGGACAGATCGTGGAGCCCTTTGAAAGCATGCAGAAGATTTTAGGTTCATTCCATGAGCATTTTAGAAATATTGATCTGCTTTTCTTGTGGAAAAAAGGAATGGCAAGGGGAAGAGGAAGAGCCAAGGTGGAAATGAAGCGACTACACAGGAGGCCACTGCAGTAGAAACAAGCAGGAGTGAACTTGAACTGGGTTGATGGTGATGAGGAGAGAAAAAGTCGATAGAGTCAAAGTAGACTTTGAATATAGACATGACAGAATGTGTTGATGGAAAGGGGACAAGGGTTTATTGAGAAGAGGTTATCTATAGATAAACTGTTGCTTGATGATGTCAGGGTTTTTCAGAGGACGTTAGGTTGCTATTTCTGTCCATCCCACAAATTCATGGTTGTTTTGTGCATTTTTTAATGAAGTATAGAAACTTCAAACTGTAAAACAATTGAGCACTGACCATTTTCAGCCATTCTTCCTCTCTTGGCAGACCCTTGTGTTGGCTTCTACTTGTCTTTTGTCATAGAAGACCATTAAAAAGAACTAGTCAGCAGGGCTGAATATCCTGTTGTTGAGAGTCTTATGTAACAAGACAGTTGGCAGCAGAAACTGCATGATCAGTTTTTTTCTATTCCCTAATGAATACTTTGGAAAATCCTATCGTGTCTACTTTCATTTTTGCTTCCTTTATTTCATTTCTCAATTTCTTTTGTATATTCTTTCCTTTCATTTTTGCTTCCTTTATTTTATTTCCCAATTTCTCTTGCATATTCTTCCCTTTCAATAGTTTTTTTTTCTTCTTCTGGTCTTTAATAGTATCATGTTCTCTCCATTTTGTTGACTTATAGTCCACTTTTTCTTGCCCAGTCTTTACTAATTACTGTTAAAGTATACATGCTTAAGATTAAACAATGATAATGATGGAGAAACATGTGAAGTAAAGAGTAGAATTACCTCATTCCTTTGCAATATATTCTTCCCAGACGGAGCCATATGCTCTGTGTCTACACAAATACTATCACACTGCACATGTGGTTCTGCAACTTTGTCACATAAAACACTGTTGTTCCATGTACATATGTAACAATTTGCCTCATAAAAAATGACTGCATAGTATTCTGATTAGTATAAAACTATCCTATTTTGTTAAAAAAAAAGTACACACACATGCATACATACATACATACATACATACACATACATTCACATAGATAAGCATTACATTGTCAAATTTGGTCAATTCTTAACACTAATAATGAGGAAGAAGATTTGTTTTCAAACCTCATGCACTTCTTACCTTTGGATTTTTTGGTAATGAATAATAAATATTAAGTGTGTTTTTAGAAAAGATTAAGAAGAACCCTTACACTGTCAACAAAGCAGTTTTGTATCTTCCACTTCATTTCATTTTCCTGTGTTTGTGGGGTACCCATGAAACACATAACTCACAGCTATAAGTGAGGAATTGAAGATAAGAGAGGTTACATTACTAGTCCATGGTCATCGAAGGCAGAACAGAAGCTAGAGGCTGATGCTCTCTGGATCATGTGGTACAAAGTGGTCACGTGGCTGTTTTTAACACAGATGTTTCTTTTTTAGCCCATGTGTCCTTATAAGCAAAGAAGATAAAAATGTCCTCAGTGATCCCAACATTTTTCATCTTATTTAGAAACTTGGCGACTCTTGATAGGTAAAACCACTTTGAATAATCATAGTGAGATCAAGACAGTTATGTCATGATGGGAACATTGTCACCACTGTTTGGTAGGATACATCACTCCTCTGAACCTGGCCCCAAACAGGTCACATCATGGGCTGAAGAAGCATTTCTGTACTTGGTGTATATTTATTTTCTGACTCACCAACTCATTAACACCTGGCTGTATGCTGCCCTCAAGCCTTAACTCTGGAAGAGATTCAGACACAGCATTTGCTATTAACATTTGTTGAAAAACAACCATATTATTCTAAGGGATGATTCTACAATGTAGTGAGTACTGGCAAGATGACACAATTTACACAGCATAAGATTAGTCATGTTTCCTTCGCTCCATCCAACGCCATAAAGAGAAATATCAATGGTCTATGAACTGGTTAAAGAAGCAAGTCTTGAGGGAAGCATACAAAAGTAGAATTAGCCACATACAAAAATGGCTGTAAAACATCTTGGAACCCCTAAGTTTCACATCTTGTATCTCATCTACCAGGTGGCCTATTGTAAATAACTGTTCCAAAGACAAGAGATGGAGAGATGCCTTCTGAGTCAACCCCAGCGGCAGCAGCCACTGTCTATTTTGTCCACAACAAACTCCCACTGAATACCTACCACGTGTCCAACATCCAGCTGGCCCCGAATGGTAAGCCTTTAGTTGATCTTATTTTACCTTTTACTCTTTATTACTTACTTATGAAAGATCCATTGTGAATTGCAATGTAACAGCTGCGGAGGTAATTATATTGCATTCTTATTCAAGGAAAGAAACCTGTATCCAAAAAGGGACATGGTCTGTTAAGACCCTTTGCTACAAAGAACAGAACATTAAATACTTCTAAATGAAAGAAAAATAGTACAAGATTAGGCAATTTATTGTCATTTTAAAAATTGTGAGATATCAAATATAGAAAAGAGTAAATAAAACTGTTATGTACACTTTATTTATTTTTATGTATTTATTTTTATCCTCACCCGAGGACATTTTTCCATTTTTTGCTTAGATAGAGTGGGAGGGAGAGAGAGGAAGAGAGAGAGAGAAAAAAACATCGACGTAAAAGGGACACATCAAGTGGCTGCCTCCCGCATGACTCAACCAGGGCCGGGGACAAACTGCAACCAAGGTACGTGCCCTTAGCGGGACCGCGGGCTGACGCTCTAACGGCTGAGCCAAAACAGCCAGGGCCGGTTCTGTGCACTTTAAAAAATAATGACAGACAACATCTATGTAACTATCACAGGAGAAAGAACTAGTAAGTAGGTCTCCAGCATCGCCCAAACTCCAGTTTCTTGTGCCTCTTCACAATCCCAACTCTCTCCACCTAGAAGTGGGAGGTGATCATTTTCTTACTTTTGTTTATAGTCTTATCACTTATGTGTAAATTCCTAACTATTAATGTTTGGTTTTGTCGGTTTTTGGACATTTTGTAAATAAAATCATCCTCTAAGAATTATTTTATCTTCTTTTTTGTTTGTTTGTTTGTTTGTTTGAAAGACTCATCTATATTATGTCTAGAACAACTAATGTGTTTTGACTGTATCACGTAAATATACAATCTGTAACAATCTAGTTATCCATTTAACTGCCAATGGACATTTGGGTAATTCATAGTTTCTGGCTCTTACGTGCAATGCTGGAGTGAACATTCATGTATTTGTATTCATGGGCAAGTGTTTCTTTAGGGTGTGTTCCTAAAGATGGTACCACAGGGGCATGTACATATTCTTGTTTGGTAGATAATGTCAAATATTTTCCATAAAGGTTGTACCAATTTAAACTACTTTGAGAGCAGTGCTTCTTATCTCTGTAACAGTTGGTATTTCCAATTATTTATTTTTTTGTCCCTCTGGTAAAAATGTAATGATATTTCTCATTTTGGTTTTAATTGGCATTTCCCTCGCCATTAAAAGTTTTTGGCAGCTTTATATATGTTTAGTAGCCATTTGGATATCTTCTTTTATGAAAGGTCTATTTGAAACTTTTGCCCATTTTTTACATTTAATTTGTCTTTTTCCTGTTGATTTATGATATTTCATTATTATTTTATTCACTTAAACCGACAAATGTTTATTGAGTGTCTGCCATTCTCCAGGCATATTTTAGGCATTTGGGGTGCACCAATGAACCAACAGCAAAGACCCTGACCTTTTTGAGATTACATTCTGAAGGGAGAGATAATAGACAGTAAATACACAGAAGTAAATAATTGGGTATCTTAGGAGAGAAAGAATACCATTAAACAAAAAAAAAGAGAACACTTTAAGAGGCATAGAAACGCTGGATGTTGGAGAACTATTATCCTTATTGAGATGTAATCCTTGAGCAGAGACTTGAAAAGGTGGCCTGAGTAGTGAAGTAGAGGACAAAAGTAGGCCAAGAGGTCAGAGAGGTCAGGGGATGGGGAACAGATCATGTAAGGCCTTCGAGCCATTGTAAGAACTTTGGTTTTTACTCTGAATGAACTGAATAACCACCTCACACATTCCCGACTACACCTAAATCATCTGATGACTGAGTCAGACCAGTGGATGCTCTGGGATAATCAACAGAATACAAGAAGATGCTGATTTAAAAAGAGAAAGTGATGCTCCCTTTTAGACTATAGATGTCCATAGTCCTGTCATTGGGGAAATGATGCCCAAGACCTAATGGAATATGTTACTGTGGAATTGAAGTCAGATGGGAAGTGCGTGTGTGTGTGTGTGTGTGTGTGTGTATGAGTTCTCTTATGGTGCCTTGTGTACATTTTTAAACTTTTAAAACATATTTTTTATTGATTTTTTTAGAGAAAGAGGAAGGGAGAGGCAGAGAAAGAGAAACATTGATGAGAGAAACATCAATTGGCTGGCTCCTACACACCCCCTACAGGGGATCAAGCCCACATCCAGGCATGTTCCCTAACCGGGTATTGAACCAGCAACCTCTCCATGCTCTGGACGACACTCAACCAACTGAGCCATACTGGCCAGGGCCCTTGTGTACATTTTTAATAGTTTGTTTAGCTAGGAGAATATTACTTAAGAAAACATAATTTGATAAGATTATTAATAATGGTCAGAAGTGAATTTACATATCCAGTAGTCACAGATTGCTTTTAAAACTCTGCAGCTCACTTTTCAGTGATTCTCCTTGTCAAGTTTTGGGCTCTATTTAACCAATGCCCTCGTGTTCACCATCAACTTCTTAATATATTAATTTTTAATAATTTAGGAAACATCTAAACATATTATCTACATATGTGGAAGTCTTTATAATACCACAATTAAGAACTCAGTCACTGGAGACAAAATATAATTACTAGGTGACCTATGAACAATAGAAACTTACTTCTCACAGTTCTGGAGGCTGGAAGTCCAAGATTAAGACATCCATTTCCTGTTTCATAAATGGCTTATTTCTTGTCATATCTTCACATGATAGAAGGGGCAAGGGAGCTCTCTGGGGTTTCTTTTATAAGGATAATTTTTATCTTTTAAGCTTATTGCAATCATAATTTCTACTCAATGCATTCCCTAACTACAAGAGTCTACAGTAACATCTTCCTTCTCTGAACTCTTATAACTTCACCTCTCAAAATCACTGTAGCACTTGATTGTACACTTCTTTGTATTATATTAAAACTATATTTTCTCTTCCCAGCATGATTTTATGCCTTATGAAAAGTATTAAAAAAGGATTATCTTGCAAATTCCACAAAACAGCAACAAGTGAGATAAAACAAGTTGATAAAACAGGTGTGATAGATTAAATATTTTATTATTTTACTAAAAAGAAAAAATTTAAAGCATTACAAGTATTTTTTGAAATTTGCAGACACAAAGCATTTAACCATAGATGATAAATCAACAAGAGGCTACATTTTGGTAATTACATTATCATTCCAGACTTGAAAACCATATGTTCATGAATCAGGTGATTTCTTGTTATATGTTGGTCTTTTGTGCGTGACACTCCATTTTCTAAAGGCAGATTATAGTATAATGAAAGCAATTATATAAATTTTTCTTACATATAGTAAAGAAACAACATTTAAAAGACAAAAGGTTTTTGGGTTTTTTTGTTGTTGTTTTAAATTTTTCATGGCATACTCACCAACAATTTGGGTTATTGATGTTCTACACAACGCAGTTTGGGAAACAGTACTTCAGACAATCAGAGGCAGATGGAAAATCAACTGTTGTTGGACTTACTTTACAATATTCTTAAGTCCCATAATCTACCCCAAAATAACAACTTGAGTAAACTCAAGTCTGAGACATGGTCAAACTGTGGAGCAACTTATTTCCATGGATAAGCAAGTTGATAGATACATGGGGGATTCATTAAACCATAATTTATTTCATGGAGACCAGATAATCATGTGTCTAGGCATCTTTAAAGATACTTAAAAGCACTTGGAGAGAGGGCAGTGCATAAAATAAGAAGCAGATGTTTTTACTCTTAAAAATCAAAACACTCCTAACCCCTTCTTAGCTCCTAGCTCTGCTTAAACTTTCTTGATGAGACAACTGTTTCTATTCAATTTATGTGCAATCTAAAAAGTCTAATTTTAATGAGTCTACATTCTTTAACTTTAAAATTGCTTGCCATTGTTCATACCAACAGAATTTTACAATCTTTCCAGCCTCGTAAGCATCTTTATCCCAGCTACCAACTGCCTAACTCTCCCTGCAGATGTACAGTGAAGCTCTCTCTATAAAGTAACTATTTTACTTTTTAAAAGATCTAAACCTTTATTCCAGTTTCTCTATATTCCCACTCTAATTTGAAATTCAACAATCTACACTTACTGAAAATAACACTTGGTTAATATGGTTATTGGCAGTGAAAGATGGCCAAAAGAGGTACTTCTGGTTAAAACTGTTGATATGAAAGTACATAATAACCACGATAAAACAAAAGCAAAGAGTTCTTTCAAAATCATAAAGCAAACAAAGAACAAGGTTGGAAAAAGCAACGCAATTTTTGGAAGTTGAAAAGCAGTTGGTAACTTGTAATTGGACTAACAGATCTGAGAAATCTGAATCCCAAGCTGGAACTGGAGAAAGATAAGAAGCAATATAACTGGTACCATGAAATCTGTAAAATAAATAAATAAATAATTCAAAATTTAGCAGCATCAGTCACCTCTGGACATGGGGCTGGAGGCAGGGCTAAAAAACAGGATTGGTTTAAGAATTAGTCCCTCTGATCTCTGCCCCCATGCCAAACATCTGGGCAACTGCTTCTTTCTACCCTAACAAAAGGTGGGACTTTTAATCTCTAGATGTAGTTTTCCAAAAGATTTCTTAACTGAGGGACACTAGACTACATGATTGGACACTAGATTGAACAAAGGGGAATCAACTTGAAATGATCACACAGAGGTTTAATTTCTTCAGCCTGGTTCCCCAACCTGGTCCCCCAAACACTGGCATTCAGCCTGCATTCTCCAGGCAGTAGGTCCAAAGAGCCAATCTAGCAAATCTGACTGCCCAGGAGAGGAGATTTCAATAAAATGATACATTTTGAGGTTCACATTTAAATTCCCCAACTAATCATATTATATCGAAGCCCATAACCTACAAGCTCCACCAATGTTCATATTTTATCCAATATAAGTGGATGACCAAGGAGCTCCAGAGACTTGAGAAATGCCTGAAAAA